CCCTCCTCCCTCTCGGGCTCTCTGTCTCTCATTCTCTCTCTCTCAAATAAATAAATAAAATCTTTAAAAAAAATAAATAAATAAATCAGTATGTCTTTCACTAGATTATTGAATTTTTCATCCAAAATCACACAATATGAGATCTAAAAAATATATTGTACTCTTAGGAAAGGCTTTGTTAAACTTTAAAAAACATGTGTACATATATCTGCTTCTCAAAATATATTTATTAATATTCACACTTACTTGCTTATTTAAGTGTTTATATATCAGTATATTTATATATATTTCTAATTATTAGAATAAGCCTATTTGAGAGCAGTCATCTTGTATATCTTGTTCCCTGCTGTATCCTCCTTGGTCTTAGAAAAATTCCTGGAATATAGATGACCAAGAAATATGAATGAATTAGTAAATTTAGAAAAGCAAGCAAGGCCAAGCATTTTACTCCCAGTTGCTTAAAAGGAGAACTAGAAGCCCACAGAGCTTCACTGACTTGCTGCTGAGTTTGTAGGCAGCACCTGAACTCAAGACCTGTGACTCCTGTGCCAGGGGGCTTCTCGCTGTACATCATGATACGATGCGTGACAACTCCGAGACAAGAGACCTGGGCTAGACCTCTCTGTCTTGAATCTTACACTGTGTTCATTGGAAGTTAAAAACTACGTGTTTCTAAAAAGGCTCTCAATAAATATTTGATGAGTTGGGTGAAAGTCAGACAAGATGTCTTATAAGTGAATAAACTGGGGCTTATTGATGTGAGAGAAAGTAACCCAGTAACTGAACTGGTTTTCCTGCAAAAATATATTTAATATGTGGGCTTTTGGCCAACAGTTTTCATTGCTGTCATAGAAAATAGATCACAGTAGTCAGTTGGAAAGCTATTGATAATAGCTACCCATCCAAATGGCAGTGGAATATCTTTGGCCATCGATGAGCACGCTGAATGCCTAAGGCGAGTTTTGGTCTATTTCCATCTACATGGGTAGCCTCATAGCTATAACCAACAAATTTAAGGCACAGAGTTCATGGGATATGAAGTCTTCATAGTGTGCTATTTACTACTGTTTTACAGATTTTGGTTTTCAAACCCAGTGGCTAGGGCATATTTTCTCCCTTTTGGTCTTTGGTCTGCCATTGGGAAATCCTGTCAGCAGATGATCAGGATGCTTCTTTGGTTTTATCTTCATTAGCTGAATCCTTGGAATATATGAGAATCACCAGGGGAACTTCTTACATTTCAGAATCCTCAGCCCCCACTCCTAGAACTCAATGCAGAATGCTGGGAAAAGAAAGAATTCTAAGCTTCAGGTTATTCTGGCACAAATGATCTGAGGAATAGAATTATAGATCAACCTTAGCCAATTTGCATGCACATCTTTCAGATTCTTCTGAAAGACGTCAGTCACCGAAAAGTGAGATAAGTGAGAATTAGCTGCTGTTGTGTAGCTTAGCCACTGTGAAGCAGTAAGAGGAAATCACAGGCCAAGGTCTGGTGCTTGTACAGACATTTATTAAATGAACATTTTTATTAGCAAGTAGGCACAATGCAGTTAATACAAACTGTTCTGTAAGCTTGGTGAAGTCCTAGCTCTCTGACTTGCTATACCTTGAATAAAACGTTCTCTTTGGGCAGCTTTCACAGTATTTTAGAAGCAGGATTCAGCTACACTCAGCCAGTGCCAAGGAACAGAAAGTCTCCCGAGCTGATGGCTGGCACAGGATCACTAAGTGATCAAGATTCCAGAACCATGTCCAGGGCTTCAGGTCACTGGCCTCACTGGTCTTATCCTGTCTACACACAGGCTGTGAGTGTCTCTAAAAGATGTTTTGTCAAACTACATATTCTTAATATCTTTAATTTCAGCACTGAGATATCTTTCCTAACATTTATCTAACATTTATACTGATTAACAAAGCACTCATTTCACCAAAGAAAACCCAGTTTGGCATTTAGTAAGTTGATTAGAGGAACAGAGAGCAGAAATGCAGTAGCTGCTTCTGGAATGGCTGCCCGTGACCACCTCTGGCATACGGCTTTCCGAGTAGAATGCTGGCTGTCTCTAAATTGTAAATTAAACACACACACACACTTCCTATTGTCTGTGCTGAAAAATTTAAAGTTAGTTGTAGATGTTGTAATAAAAACATCTTAAGAAACTTTAGTAGAGTAGGGCGCCTGGGTGGCTCAGTCGTTAAGCGTCTGCCTTCGGCTCGGGTCATGATCCCAGGGTCCTGGGATCGAGTCCCGCATCGGGCTCCCTGCTCGGCGGGAAGCCCGCTTCTCCCTCTCCCACTCCCCCTGCTTGTGTTCCTGCTCTCGCTATGTCTCTCTCTGTCAAATAAATAAATAAAATCTTTAAAAAGAAAAAAAAAAGAAAAAAGAAACTTTAGTATAGTAGAAAGAAAATTGACTTGTCCTAAAATATGACTTTGAAAAACACACTCCCGGCTTGGGATCGTGGCTTCACTTGTTGATAGATCATTTTAATAATTTATCTTCTTCATCCATTGAAAGGCAGTAGAATTTTAAATAATGGTTGTGAGCACTGCCAGCATAACCTGTTAAACCCAGGGTCTGATTCCAGGGGATGCTAAGTGCTGACTCCCTTTCCAATCCACATGGAGTCTTTATTAAACTCATCAAGGACCGCCCCTTTCAAGGAAGATGTGAGATTTCAGACCATGTGCTCATCTAAAGTATCTGACCAACTTCTCCACTAATCAAAACATTCCTTCCTCCTTGGTAAAAAATAAATTGTTTTCTTACTGGGTGAAAGCCTTAACTAAAGGCTTGATGGCCTCGTGTATTCAATTACAGACTTCTGACTGTGTACACACTTTGTTTCTTTTGAAGTAAAGTCCCGGTCATGTAGCTTCTATTCTTTCCTGCTCTTTCCTACCAGCGTGGAGCTTTATCTCTCCATGCTTGTGCCCTGCTAATCCCAGAAAAGGTCTTAGTTCTCCTCTGGAACACTTGTAATCAGATATTTAAGCACCAGGAATTCTTTTGTCTTGTTCTTTCTTGGGAATAAACAGAAAAAGAAAGAGATTATTTATTTGGGATGTTTCCTCGGGAAGAGTTATTTTGGTCGCTTTAATTTTTGTTTCCTCTACCACCCAGCTGGAATTACTTTTGATAAGACTTCGTTAATTTTAATAAAGTAAATTTATTTATTGGCTGTTTACCTGGTAATAAGCTTTCTGATACAGGCCAGAGCCCATGGTCATGAGAGAATAGAAGGATTTGTAAATGTCTCAATTTTTTCAGGGATGGTATTTTTTTATTATTATTACCCCGTTGCTTTCATTTGAAAGGAGAAGGAGCTGTGGGCTGAAGAGAAGAGGTAAGAAAGTTCCAGAGCCAGTCTTCCTGGAAGGGGGTGGCTGCTCTCAAGAAGGATTTTCCTTCCAAACATACTTTGATGGTTTTATTTATCTTTTCTGTTATAAAACTGGGATCTAAGTTCATTCATTTATATCCAA